AACTCGTTGGCCTGAATGCCAAGTGTCACATCTGGAGGAAACCTGGCACCATTACTACGGTGAAGCATGGTAGTGGCAGCATCATGCTGTGGGGATGTTTTTCAGCGGCAGGGATTGGGAGACTAGTCAGGATCGAGGCATAGATGAACGGAGTAAAGTACAGTGAGATCTTTGATGAAAACCTGCTCCAGAGTGCTCAGGACCTCAGACTGAGGCGAAGGTTCACCTTCCAATAGGACAACGACCCTAAGCACACAGCCAAGACAACACAGGAGTGGCTTCGGGACAAGTCTCTGAATGTCCTTGAGTGGCCCAGCTAGAGCCCGGACTTGAACTCGATCGAACATCTCTGGAGAGACTTGAAAATAGCTATGCAGCGATGCTCCCCATCCAACCTGACAGAGCTTGAGAGGATCTGCAGAGAAGAATGGGAGAAACCCCCCAAATACAGGTGTGCCAAGCTTGTAGCGTCATACCCAAGAAGACTCGAGGCTGTAATCGCTGCCAAAGGTGCTTCAACAAAGTACTGAGTAAAGGTGCTGAATACTTAAGTAAATGTGATATTTAAGTATTTCTTTGCTTTGTCATTATGAGGTATTGTGTGTAGATTGATGAGGGGAAAAACGATTTAATCAATTTTAGAATAAGACTGTAACGTAAAGAAATGTGGAAAAAGTCAAGGGGTCTGAATACTTTTCCGAATGCACTGTATGTCATATATTGCCATAACTGTTCCTGCATACTGCTGTGTAAACTCAGCTCGGTCTCCAGAGCAAAAACACTTGTCTATTTATTTGCTATATTGACAGACTAATATACTGTTTTATAGAATCATGTTTACTTGCCCACAAATTCAAGTTTAAATGATACACCAACTGCCTGCATCATTTGTTTTAGCAGTAAGACTGAAGCTAGTTTATCCAAATACATTTCATGAATATCACAATGAATTGATCCAGAAGTTGAAGTCAACACACTTTTTGGTTTCTGATGCAGCTGGAGTAATTTAGCCACTTGTCAGTACATTTGTAAGAAATATGATATAAAACACCATTATATACAGTGCCTTCAGAAAGTATTCACACCCCTCAACTTTTTCCACATTTGTTGTGTTACAGCCTGAATTTAAAATGGATGAAATTGAGAATTGTTTTATCACTGGCCTATACACAATACCCCATAATATCAAAGTGGAATTTTGTTTTTGAAATGTTTACAAATTAATTTAAAATGAAAAGCTGAAATGTCTTCAGTCAATAAGTATTCAAACCTTTTGTTATGGCAAGCCTAAATAAATTCATGAGTAAAAATGTGCTTAAAAAATCACATAATATGTTGCATGGACTCACTCTGTGTGATATAATAGTGTTAACATAATTTTTTTAAATGACTACCTCATCTCTGTTCCCCACATATACAATTATCTGTATGGTCCCTCAGTCGAGCAGTGAATTTACAACACAGATTCAACCATAATGACCAGGGAGGTTTTCCAATGCCTCACAAAGAAGAGCACCTATTGGTAGATTAGTAAAAAAAAAAAAAAAAAAAAAAAGCTGACATATCCCTTTGAGCATGGTAAAGTTATTAATTACACTTTGGATGGTGTATCAATACACACCAGTCACTACAAATGTACAGGCATCCTTCCTAACTCAGTTGCTGGAGAGGAAGGAAACCGCTTAGGGATTTCACCAATGGTCACTTTAAAATAGTTAGAGTTTAATGGCTGTGAATGGATCAACAACATTGTAGTTACTCCACAATACTAACCTAAATGACAGAGTGAAAAGCTCCCGAGTGGCGCAGTGGTCTAAGGCACTGCATCGCAGTGCTAGCTGTGCCACTAGAGATCCTGGTTCGAATGCAGGCTCTGTCGTAGCCGGCCGTGACCGGGAGACCCATGGGGCGGCGCACAATTGGCCCAGCGTCGTCTAGGGTAGGGGAGGGAATGGCCGGCAGGGATGTAGCTCAGTTGGTAGAGCATGGCGTTTGCAACGCCAGGGTTGTGGGTTCGATTCCCACGGGGGTATGAAAAATAGTATGAAAAAAAATAAAATAATGTATTCACTAACTGTAAGTCGCTCTGGATAAGAGCGTCTGCTAAATGACTAAAATGTAAAAGAAGGAAGCCTGTACAGAATAAAAATATTCCAAAACATGCATCCTGTTTGCAATAAGGCACTAAAGTAAAACTGCAGAAAATGTGGCAAAGAAATTACCTTTATGTCCTGAATACAAAGCGTTATGTTTGGGGCAAATACTACACAACACATCACTGAGTACTAATCTTCATATTTTCAAGCTTGGTGGTGGCTGCATCATGTTATGGGTAAGCTTGTCATCGGCAAGGACTAGGGACTTTTTTTTTATGATAAAAAGAAACGGAATAGAGTTAAGCACAGGCAAAATCCTAGAGGAAAACCTGGTTCAGTCTGCTTTCCAACAGAAACTGGGAGACACATTCCCCTTTCAGCAGGACAATAACCTAAAACACACCGCCAAATATATACTTGAGTTGCTTACCAAGATGACATTGAATGTTCCTGAGTGGCCTAGTTACAATTTGGACTTAATTCGGCTTGAAAATCTATGGCAAGACTTGAAAATGGCTGTCTAGCAATGATCAACAACCAACTTGACAGAGGTTGAATAATATTTCAAAGAATAATGTGCAAATATTGTACAATCCAGGTGTGCAAAGAGACTTACCCAGAAAGACTCACATCTGTAATCGCTGCCAAAGGTGATTCTAACATGTATTGACAGGGTGTGAGTACTTATGTAAATGAGATATTTCTGTATTTCATTTTCAATACATTGGCACACATTTCTAAAAACATGTTTTCACTTTGTCACTACGAGGTATTGTGTGTAGATGGGTGACAATAAAAACAAAAAACAATTAATTTAGAATTCAGGCTGAAACACAACACAATGTGGGAAAAATCAAGGGGTGTGAATACTTTCTGAAGGCACTGTACATTCGTACAACAGATAGAAATATCTATACCACAGTGCAGTTGTGAGCATACTAGGCATTCTACATTATACTACAACATCAGTCTGAATATGGATGTTGTGTTGGTTGAATGTTCCAGGCAGGTTCCAGAATGTTCTTCAGCTGGTGATCCTCTTCTTTTGTTGGGTAATGGCAGCTGGTTTAGCAGGCTTTGGCGATGTTCTTCACCACCCACTGCTTCAACAATCTCTTGCAGAAGATTTGTATGTACTGCAAGTCTCCTGGAAGAACATGAAGACTGAACATGAGGATGTGTAACCATACAATAAACCATGTTCATCTGTAAACAAAAAAGGGTACAGTAGACTAGTATGTATTTGTTACACTCAGAGTCAAAAATGGGGCATTGAGATGGTCTGTTAGCAAAAATGTTAAACGTTTGAGGGGGGCTTAACTTGTAGATGGTCTACTTGTGTATTGTGTATGAGCACCTACAGTTGAGCTGTTGAGTAGACAAGCACTGCCAAAAATAGAGTGAACAGGCTAGAAGAGTATACTAACAGCCTCTCTCCCCATACCAAGGGTACAAGGCTGCAAGGGTGTGAAAGGTTGGAGGAGCACTTGTCTTGTAGACAGTTTAGTGTATTGGTGATTATGTTTTCTCAAGATGGTATTGTGCTTTCATAAATACATTTGGCTGTCTTGGCTTGTTTCAAAGTCAGATGATGTTGAGCTTGGGCTTATTTCATGCTGAAAGCTTTTATTCAATGGGTATGCAGGCTCTGTACTACTAAAGCTGGTGTCAAGGTCACCGTCATCAGCAGCAGCAGGATTAGTCTGCAGGACACACAGTAGTCAGTTATTAGCCAACATTTTACTACTTTGTCCCCATCAATACACACTTAAACAAAGTACTATATCCACCCAGTCAGTCACCCACACCATCCTCTCATTACTAATACCTATTTTTCTCCAATTTAGACTTCAAGCCATGCATGAACAATCAACTAAGCTCCATAATACAGAGAAAACTACAGTAGAAGTTGTAGCCTACCTGTAAACACACCAACTATGACAACAAGACACAGACCATGTTTATGCCTAGCTACAGTATATTTATTTGCTCATCATTTTAGAAGGTGACTTACACTAGTTCCTGGTGCTGAGCTTGATGTTGATGGGATCGAACTCTAAATAGAACACATAACGTTAGTCACATTAGCCTCTGCGGTAGTTAGCTACATTTAGCTTGCAAAGTTACAAATCACATCGTCAGATAACAGCTGGCTAATTACATTGATATGCTTTGGAATGTCTAGCCAGCGCATTATGAAAGCTAGCTAGCTAGATGTTGGTTTAGTTAAACAAATGTAGCTCGCTATCTAGCTAGTTAGCTAGGTAACATTAGCTACTTTAACTCAGCTTGACTTATTTTCTGCTGCGCTGATATTGGCTGATCGGATGCCTTCCTCTTTGAAGTGAAGGAAAAAATCTATGGAATAGCATCACTTTTCAATGCTCGACTACATGGCAACCCCAACAGTTGAGACTTGAGTTCCGTTTCGAAATCCTCTAGCTGAAAGTGCTAGCTACAAACACAGACATTTTTATATTTCTCACATCAATTGGATACACCTCCACGGAGCGGTACTACGTCCTGAAATCGCTATAAATTCTGGATATTGTGGTTTGATTACAACCAGGAAATGTTGAGGCATATATCTGTACCTGGGGCAAAGACCTTGTGTTTTCCTGGGGCAAAAGTTCAGGATATCACCAGGTTGCTTCCCGAGGCTGTGAGTCAGTCACCGGGGGCTGATACTGTCATGGTTCATGTGGGGTCAAATGAGATTTTGAAGGGCAGCTCAGAACAGCTGAATATGGATTTTAAAGAACTGATTGGGTCTCTACTTGACACCAACAAACACCGCTGTTACGTGGAGTGGAACAGGGAAACCCAAGAGCAGACTCAGACGAGGAGACTGGGATGAAGTAACCAAGGTATTTATTGAAACACAGGGGGAAGATGGAGTGTAGGTCAGGGGAAACTGCTGGAAACCAGGTGCGGAGGCTGAGGCTGGAGCGAGGGGGGTTGAGACAGGGTGAGCAGGTCCGGAGGGGAATCCAAGGAAGTAGTAGAGTGGGGAATCCAGGACAGAGTAGCAGGATGACGAGGCGTGGGACTGGAGACAGGGACCAGAGTCGGAGCAGGCAGAACTGTAGCGGAAAACAGCGTCAGGCAAGGAAAACATGCACAACAGGATCTGAATAGTAACAAACCGCTAGAACCGTAGACTGACTGAGCAGAGATTACGATCTGGCAATGTGGAAGTGGCAGGACTGAGTATTTGTAGAGCTCTTGATTATGGAACAGGTTGCAGCTGGTGGGGGATCTGCTGACTCCAGCACACCTGTCTCCGCCCACACACACAGAGATAAGCCTGGCGCACCACCAGGCTTATCTGGGTGTGAGGTATAGAAATCCCGTAAGAGGGAGGGGTCCAGAATGTGATGGCAGGGCACCCAGCAGCGCTCCTCAGGCCCGTCCAGAAGCCGCTGGACGGTATAGGCAAGTTGGTCATCGATGAGCTGAGGGGGTGGAGGAGCTGCTGCAGGAGGAGACAGGGGACTGGAGCACACAGGTTTAATCAGGGATACGTAGAAGGTAGGATGGATCCTGAGAGAGGCTGGGAGTTTCAGGCGCACCGCAGAGGGGTTAATGACACAGTTAATTTCAAAGGGACCAATGAATCGGAGGGAAAGTTTCTTCGATGCCACCTTCAATGGCAGGTCCTTCGATGGGAGCCATACCCTTTGACCCGGGGTGTAGACTGGAGCTGAGGCCTGGCGACGGTTGGCTTGGGACTGGGTCCCGTCGGAGGCACGAAGAAGGGCAGCCCGGGCCTTCCTCCAGGTACGGTGACAACGGCGCAGATGGTCCTGGACAGAGGGAACTGCAACCACAACCTCTTGGGCGGGGAACAAGGGGGGGTTGGTAACCCAAAGCACACTCGAAGGGTGAAATACCTGACGAGGCGTTGGTGAGGGTGTTGTGGGCATATTCAACCCAGGGTAGCTGAGCGCTCCAGGAGGAAGGGTTAGCAGAAGTCACGCAGCGTAGGGCAGTCTCCATCTCTTGGTTGGCCCGTTCGGTCTGGCCGTTGGTCTGGGGGTGATATCCAGAAGAAAGACTGACATTGATACCAAGAGCTGGACAGAAGGATCTCCATACCTGGGACGTAAACTGGGGTCCTCTGTCGGAAACGATGTCAGTGGGGATGCCATGCAGACGAAACACATGGGATACTAACAGGTCCGCAGTCTCCCTGAAGGACGGGAGCTTGGAGAGGGGAATGAAGTGAGCCATTTTGGAAAACCTGTCAATAATGGTGAGGATGACGGAGTTACCGTTAGATGGGGGAAGGCCAGTGATGAAGTCCAAAGCTATGTGTGACCAGGGGCAACTGGGTATGGGAAGAGGGTGGAGCAGACCGGAAGTGGGTTTAGTGGAGGTTTTGTTTCGGGCACAAACCGAACAGGCTGAGACAAACTCCCGGATATCTCTCTCCATGGTGGGCCACCAAAAGCGCTGATGCAGGAAGGCGAGGGTCCGGTTCATACCAGGGTGACAGGTGAGGTGGGTAGAATGGCCCCACTGAAGATCAGAGCAAACACAATCTGGGACAAACAGAGCATTACTAGGACCGTTACCCAGATCAGGCTGGTTCTGCTGAGCCTGGCGGATACGGGACTCGATCTCTCAGGTGATGGCGGCAATGATGCAGGTGGATGGCACAATGGCTTCTGGCTCGGTACCCGTGTTGTCGGTGGTGAACTGGCGAGAGAGGGCATCAGGCTTGGAATTCTTCGAACCGGGGCGATAAGTGAGTGTGAAATTGAATCTACCAAAGAACAAGGCCCACCTGACTTGCCGGAAGTTCAGATGTTTGGCGGTCTAGATGTAGGACATGTTTTTATGGTCAGTCCACACGATGAAGGGGGTTACAGAGCCCTCCATTCAGTGACGCCATTCCTCCAGAGCCAGCTTAACTGCCAGGAGTTCCCGGTTTCCGATGTCAAAATTCCTCTCTGCTGGTGAGAGGTTACGGGAAAAGAATGCACATGGGTGGACCTTCTGATCAGAGGGGGAACGTTGAGACATAACAACACCTACCCCGGTGTCAGAGGCATCCACCTCCACGATGAACTGGAGTTCTGGGTCGGGCTGAGTAAGGACCGGAGCGGAGGTGAAGCGATGCTTGAGTTCCAGGAATGCTGCCTCAGCCTCAGGAGTCCAGTGGAACGGAGTGGAGGTTGGAGGTGAGAGTGGTGAGGGGTGCTGCCAGACTGCTGTAGCTGCAGATGAAACGTCTGTAAAAATTTGCAAACCCCAGGAAACGCTGTAGCTGCTTCAGGTTGGAGGGCGCAGGCCACTCTGTGACTGCCATGACCTTGGCGGGGTCCATATGTAACTGTCCCTGTGTAATAATATAACCCAGGAAAGCCACTGTGGCAGCATGGAACTCATATTTTTCAGCTTTAACAAAAAGCTTATTCTCCAACAGCCGTTGAAGAACTTGGCAAACATGTTGCTGGTGAGCCTCAGGGTCTTTGGAAAAAATCAGGATGTCATCTAAACAGACAAAAACGAAGCATGAATCACATCCCTCAGCACGTCATTGACTATGTTCTGTAAAACAGCAGGGGCATTAGTAAGACCAAAAGGCATGACCTTTTATATTCAAAGTGACCAAGTGGTGTGTTGAACGCAGTCTTCCACTCGTCCCCCATCTCTTATGCGGACTAGGTGGTAGGCATTCCGGAGGTTGAGTTTGGTAAACACCGTGGCACAATGGAGGGGGACAAAAGCAGAGTTGATGAGTGGCACACAAGGGGTACATGTTCTTAACAGTGATATTATTCAGACCACGGAAGTCTATGCACAGCCTCAGTGACCCATCCTTCTTCACAAAGAAAATCCCAGCACCCACCAGGAAGGAAGATGGCTTGATAAGTCCTGCAGCCAGAGAATCCTGGATGTACCTCTTCATAGCCTCTTGCTCGGGATGAGAGAGGTTAAACAACCGGCTACTGAGTGGCGCAGTGGTCTAAGGCACTGCATTGCAGTGCTAGCTGTGCCACTAGAGATCCTGGCTCTGTCGTAGCCGTCCGCGACCGGGAGACCCATGGGGCGGCGCACAATTGGCCCAGCGTCGTCCAGGGTAATGGCCGGCAGGGATGTAGCGCAGTTGATAGAGCATGGCGTTTGCAACGCCAGGGTTGTGGGTTCGATTCCTACAGGGGGTATGAATTTTTTTATGTATGCACTAACTGTAAGTCGCTCTGGATAAGAGCGTCTGCTAAATGACTAAAATGTAAATGTACTGGGGAGAGGAGCTCCAGGCTGGAGGTCAATGGCGCAGTCGTACGACCGATGAGGTGGCAGCGACAGGGCGTGGTGCTTGCTGAACACAGGAGCTAGATCGTGATACTCGGGAGGAACTGATGACAGGTCCGGAGGTTCTGGAATGAACTGGGACACAGACAAGGCAGGGGGAAGGCCAGAATGTAAACAATTAGAGTGACAAAATGAACTCCAAGTGGTTACCTTTCCGGCAGTCCAGTCAATCTGTGGGTTGTGTAGCTTTAACCATGGATGGCCAAGAACCAGGGGAGAGGAAGGACAGTCGATTATGTGGAAACTGATCTTTTCCTGGTGATTTCCAGAGAGACGCAGGATGACAGGGACGGTTCTCTCACAGACACGGGTGAGAAGCTGTCCATTTAGAGCGTTGGCATTGAGGGGTGAATCGAGTGGGACAGTGTCCAGGCCCAACTGGGTAACGACACCTCGGTCCAGGAAGCTCTCGTCGGCGCCCGAATCGATGAGAGCAGACAGAGGAAAAGCCTGGCTCTGACACACAAGGTTGCCTTCAAGCAGGGGTCTGGGGGAAGATGGGCAGGCGATTTGGCTCAACAGTATATCCCCCACTATTGCCGAGCCCCCTCTTTTGCTGGACGCAGGGAACAAATGGAGACAAAGTGACCAACCTGGCCACAGTATAGGCAGCTCCTAGCGCTGATTCGTCGTTGCCTCTCCTCTGGAGAGAGATTTCCCCGGCCAAGCTGCATGGGTTCAGGATCTGGACGAGCCTGGGGATGGGATGCAGTCGGAGAAGGAGGACAAGGCACTGAAGCCGATGTTATGGGACATGCAACCCTACCTACCCTCTCCGTCCGATGCTCACGGAGACGGTTGTCGATGAGGATAGCGAGAGAGATTAGTTCATCAAGTCCATCAGGCTCATCCCTGGACACCAACTCGTCCTTGAGGGTCTCAGTGAGTGCGTCCCGGAATGCTCCCTGAAGGGCCTCCTCATTCCAGCCGCTCTCAGCGGCGAGGGTGCGGAACTCACATGCCATCTCAGCAACACTATTGGGGCCTTGACAGAGGGACAGGAGTCGTTTAGCAGCATCCCTACCGCAGACTGGGTGGTCGAAGACTTTCTTCATCTCCTCCGTGAATCTGGAGTAGGAGAAGCAGATGGGGGACAGCCTCTCCCACACTGCCGTGGCCCAGGAAAGTGCTGCTCCACGGAGGCATCCAATCAGAAAGAAAATCTTGGCCCGATCGCTAGCATAAGAGTAGGGCTGTTGCTCAAATACCAGTGAACATTGTACCAAAAAGGCTCTGCAAGCTCCGAGGTTGCCATCGTAACACTCGGGAGTTGGAACAAACGGACTCCTGGAGCGGTGGAGAAGGACTTGGAACTGGTTGTGAGCTCTGGGTGAAGGGTCGGCCCTGTAGGTCAGACAGGCTCTGTGAAAATTCCTTGATGTGCTCCAGAAGGGTCGTCAGGGCTTGGTCATGTTGCTCGAGCAGGGCGCCTTGGCCGACGAGGGTTTGGTGGAGAGTAGCAGAGTCTGCTGGGTTCATCTCTTTGGCCAGATCGTACTGTTCCGTGGAGTGGAACAGGGGAACCCAAGAGCAGACTCAGACGAGGAGACTGGGATGAAGTAACCAAGATATTTATTGAAACACAGGGGGAAGATGGAGTGCAGGTCAGGGGAAACTGCTGGAAACCAGGTGCGGAGGCTGAGGCTGGAGCGAGGGGTGGTTGAGACAGGGTGAGCAGGTCCGGAGGGGAATCCAAGGAAGTAGTAGAGTGGAGAATCCAGGACACAGTATCAGGATGACGAGGCGTGGGACTGGAGACAGGGACCAGAGTCGGAGTGGGCAGAACTGTAGTGGAGAGGAAAACAGCGTCAGGCAAGGAAAACATGCACAACAGGATAACATGATCTGAATAGTAACAAACGGCTAGAAACGTAGACTGACTGAGCAGAGATTACGATCTGGCAGTGTGGAAGTGGCAGGACTGAGTATTTGTAGAGGTCTTGATTATGGAACAGGTTGCAGCTGGTGGGGATCTACTTTGACTCCAGCACACCTGTCTCCGCCTACACAATCACACACATACAGAGAGAGAGGTAGAGGGAGAGAGTACTGGGGGAGTGGCGGCAGGTCAAGGAGACACAGCATGAGCTGTAGAGGGCGTTGCAGGAGCAGATGTGACAGACCCATAATATATGGCCCTCTGCCCTCCCTAAATCGTGGCATTGAACGGTTCAGCAGACTTATAGCCCTCCATAACTGTCTCTGAGACTATTGCAGCTCTGTGGGTGTAACATTTATTGACAATTTTGATACCTTCTGGAAACAAAGCTCGTATTATAAGGAGGATGGGATCCACCCAAATCATTTGGGTTCCTGGATCCTTTCACAGCATTATAAGGCTGCGTTGAGACAATGACTTATCAATGACCCAAGTCCAGCTCTGTCATAATGATTCAGCAAATGTACATTATCCTAGGGGCGTTGGAAGACTCAATGTAAATAACCTAATTTATGCCCCTCTTACTGCCCGGAATGCCTCTGCTGATCCTACAGCTATTGTATGCAGTAATCATATGCTTATGAACCACAGTAATACTGTTAGCACTGAGGTGGTGTGCCCTAGTAGGAAGTCCACTGTGTCTAGCTCACCCTGCACTAATAAAAATAACCAGAGTATGTCTACCTCTGCTAAGCTTCCCAGTAAAGCAAGAAAGATAATCATGCATCCCAGAAAAGTGTTTAAAATAGCCCACATTAACATATGTAGCTTAAGAAACAAGGTTAATGAAATCAATAATTTGCTAGTAACAGATGACATTCATATTCTGACAATCTCTGAAACTCACTTAGATAATACCTTTGATAATACAGTGGTAGCAATACAAGGTTATAACATTTACAGAAATGCCAATGGGGGCGGTGTTGAAGTAATATGGCTACAGGTTCACTTGCCTCACCTAAAGCCCATTCTGGTGGGAAGCTGCTATAGACACCAAGTGCTAACAGTCAGTATCTGGATAACATGTGTGAAATGCTTGATAATAAATTATATGTGATATCAATAGAGAGGTATACTTTCTGGGTGATTTAAATATTGACTGGCTTTCATCAGGCTACCCACTCAAGAGAAAGCTTCAATCTGTAACTAGTGCCTGCAACCTGGTTCAGGTTATCAATCAACCTACAAGGGTAGTTAGAAACAGTACTGGAATTAAATCATCAACACGTATTGATCAAATCTTTACTAATGCTGTAAAAATGTGTTTGAAAGCAGTATCAAAATCCATCGTATGTAGTGATCACGATATAGTAGCCATATCTAGGAAAACCAAAGTTCCAAAGGTTGGGCCTAATATTGTGTATAAGAGGTCATACAATAAGTTCTGTAGTGATTCCTATGTTGTTGATGTGAAGAATATTCGTTGGTCTGTGGTGTGTAATGACGAGTAACCAGACGCTTCACTTGACACATTTATGAAATTGCTTATCCCAGTTACTAATAAGCATGCACCCATTAAGAAAATGACTGTAAAAACGGTCAAATCCCCATTGATTTATGAAGAATTGAAAGATTGTACGGTTAAGAGAGATGAGGCAAAAGAGATGGCAAATAGGTCTGGCTGTACAACCGATTGGCAAACGTACTGCAAATTAAGAAATCATGTGACTAAACTGAATAAAAAGAAGAAGAAACTACACTATGAAACAAAGATAAATAACATAAAGAATGATAGTAAAAAGCTTTAGAGCACCTTAAATGACAAACTTGGGCAAAAAGGCAAAAAAACAAAAAGGCAAAAAGGCAAAAAGGCAAACTTCATTACTCATTGAATCAGATGACAAAACCCACTGATATTGCCAACTACTTTAATGATTTTTTTCATTGGAAAGATTAGCAAACTTAGGCATGACATGCCAGCAACAAACGCTGACACTACACATCCAAGTATATCTGACCAAATTATGAAAGACAAGCATTTTAATTTTGAATTCCGTAAAGTAAATGTGGAAGAGGTGTAAAAAGTATTATTGTCGATCAACAATGACAAGCCAACTTGACAACTTGGATGGAAAATTACTGAGGATAATAGAGGACGATATTGCCACTCCTTTTTGCCATATCTTCAATTTAAGCCTACCAGAAAGTGTGTGCCCTCAGGCCTGGAGGGAAGCAAAAGTTATTCCCCTACCTAAGAATAGTAAAGCCCCCTTAACTGGCTCAAATAGCTGACCAATCAGTCTGTTACCAACCCTTAGTAAACTTTTGGAAAAAATGGTGTTTGACCAGATAAAATGATATTTTACAGTAAACAAATTGACAACAGACTTTCAGCACGCTTATAGGGAAGGACATTCAACAAGCACAGCACTTACACAAATGACTGATGATTGGCTGAGAGAAATTGATGATAAAAATATTGTGGGGGCTGTTTTGTTAGATTTCAGTGCGGCTTTTGACATTATTGATCATAGTCTTTTGCTGGAAAAACGTATGTGTTATGGCTTTACACCCCCTGCTATATTGTGGATGAAGAGTTACCTGTCTAACAGAAAGCAGAGGGTGTTCTTTAATGGAAGCCTCTCCAACAAAATTCAGGTAGAATCAGGAATTCCCCAGGGTAGCTGTCTAGCCTCCTTACTTTTTGAGTAAAGCCAATGTGTCTATGTATGCGGATGTCTCAACACTATTCACGTCAGCTACCACAGTGACTGAAATGACAGAAACACTTAACAAAGAGCTGCAGTTCGTTTCAGAATGGGTGGCAAGGAATAAGTTAGTCCTATATATTTCAAAAAACTAAAAGCATTGTATTTGGGATAAATAATTGACTAAACCCTAAACCTCAGCTAAATCTTGTAATGAATAATGTGGAAATTGAGCAAGTTGAGGAGACTAAATTAATAATAATAATAATAATAATATGCCATTTAGCAGACGCTTTTATCCAAAGCGACTTACAGTCATGTGTGCATACATTTTTACGTATGGGTGGTCCCGGGGATCAAACCCACTACCCTGGCGTTACAAGCGCCATGCTCTACCAATTGAGCTACAGAGGACCACCAAATTGCTTGGAGTAACCCTGGATTGTAAACTGTAATGGTCAAAGCATATTGATACAACAGTAGCTAGGATGGGGAGAAGTCTGTCTATAATAAAGCGCTGCTCTGCATTCTTAACAGCACTATCAACAAGGTAGGTCCTACAGGCCCTAGTTTTGTCGCACCTGGACTACTGTTCAGTCGTGTGGTCTGGTGCCACAAAGAGGGATTGCAATTGGCACAGAACAGGACAGCATGGCTAGCCCTTGGATGTGCACAGAGAGCTAACATTAATGATTTTCATGTCAATCAAAGTGGAGAATAGATTGACTTCATCACTACTTGTATTTGTGAGAGGTATTGACATGTTGAATGAACCGAGCTGTCTGTTTGAACTACTGGCACACAGCTCGGACACCCATGCATACCCCACAAGACATGCCACCAGAGGTCTCTTCACAGTCCCCAAGACAGGAACAGACTATGGGAGGCACACAGTACTACATAGAGCCATGACTACATGGAACTCTATTCCACATCAAGTAACTCATGCCTGCAATAAAGTTAGATTAAAAAAACAGATAAAATTACACCTTATGGAACAGCAGGGATTGTGAAGCAACACAATCATAGACAACATGCATACAAACACAACGATAACATAAGCACTATACACAACATGTACACTGTGATTTTGTGTTATAGATATGTGGTAGTAGAGTAGAAGCCTGAGGGCACACACTTATATGTTGTGAAATCTGTTATGAATGCATTGTAATGTTTTTAAAATATATAACTGCCTTAATTTTGCTGGACCCCAGGAAGAGTAGCTGCCTGTGTCACCGATCGTCTAAGGAAGGAGGACCAATGCTGCACGTTGAAGTGACAATTTATTCCGAGAATGGATCACACGATCAAAACACAGACGAAAACTGATGTCTAACGGTGAACACACCAAATAAGAACAAGAACCCACAAATAAGGCATCCTAACGGCTACCGCAGTATGGACTCCAATCAGAGACAACGAGCTACAGCGTCTCTGAATTGGGGAGCTGAGAGGTCACAACAATTCATGGCTGGTAAAAAGTCTGGAAACCTTATGGAAGCTTCTTTAGCTTCTCCTGAAAAAAAAAAAGAAGCCTCCTTGTAAAAATCCAGTAATCCTTACAGTTCTGCTTGACTACCTCAAGACCCCCCTTGGTCTTTGAGGGATGGGAGTCAAGCATTCCTAGCCCAGCTATCCCCTTTGGCAATCTTTTCTGAATTAAAATACACATTTGGCCCCCTATCTTTTCCCTGGGAGTTCTATTTGTCTTGTAACGGGGTTAAGAAAAATAACCTTCCATCCTACCTCAGCTGGAGTTGGGGTCGAGCACAGGGTGGGGGCGGGGGAGGAGAGGTGTAGTCCATAGTGTAATCTGCAGGTCATTGTTACTGTAAGACAGCATGAGGGGACAGTCACAATGGAGCTCGCAGGGTTAAAGCTCCTCTCTTTCTCCTCTCTTTCTTTCTCTCTGGGTTTGTTCTTCACAGGGAGAGTATTCCCGCAGACTGACTTGCTCTTACCTCCCTCTGGCCCTCCCAGTGGAGCGATGGGAAAAGGCTATGGGGCTACCTGTTGCATGAAACAGTTATGCCATTATGCGTGCTGCCACCCCCAGGGAAAGGGAGAAGCCTGGCTGCCGGTGAAGACTTGGCCCTGGAGCCAAACGCACATCTGGTGTAAGTTGTGTCAACTTTTAAGAGTGCAGATGCTTTTGGATTGCCTTTCAAAAACTTCTCTCCATCTTACGAAAAATGGAACCGAGGGGGAATGTATTTTCCCTTCTCGTATTTATTCTGCTTTCAGTTTCTCAAAGAGTTTCTGACACAGAGGACATGTACTATGCTTAGCTTAAGCTATGCATGCAAATTCAGTTTCAACTTCTCTTAAAGCTTTTGTGTTTGAAAGATTCTGGCTTTCAAGACTACTCTTATCCAGAGACCCATGAGAGTTAGTGTTCTGCCCAGTGTTTTCTCTGCCTCCCCACAGAAGCAGCATGCACCTTGCCTCTGTTGCTTCCTCCATACAGACCCCACTGTGCAGAGCTCACTCCCCGTGTTGGCTGTACCTGTCTTGGGCTGAGATGAGGGGAGCGTGGGCTAGGGCCCAGGGGCTTGAGGTTGTGGCCTGTGGCCTGGGCCTGTTGATATTGGCTGTGCTCTCTCATGGGCCGTCTGCTGTGCTGGCCTGTGTCTGGATGTGTGTTCAGGCCACCCACTCCCTAGGTCCACTGCCTGCCACACTATCACGCCACATGGACCTGCTGGCAGCCTGCGCCACCTACCCAATGACTCACCGGACTGGGCTGCACCTCTCCAGACAGACATCCAGCCAACCAGCCAGCCGGCCAGAGCCTGGGCTCTGGAACATTTAGACACATATAGGAGCATTATATCTCTCCTCTGCCCAGGTGTTAAAGGTACATTTCACTCAAAAAACTATATTTTGGTATTTTTTTTCATTAGTCCACTGTTGATAAAGTCCAAAAATGTTTTGCATGTCAGTAGTCAAGTTTTCAAGATATTGGATTTTCAAAAATCAAAGTGTCACCGGCCACATCATCATGATACCTAGATCATGGTCCCCTAGAATGTTTTGTTTCTTTATTTGAATATCCTAGAAATAATGCATAGATGCATTTACTTGACTGTAAGTCTTTGACATGTACCCATAACAGTCCCACTTAATAATAATCTGCAATACCAAACCCCTGAAACAAAAACCCTTCTTTAGCTTTGTTGTTATCAAATGCTAACAAGGTGGTGATTTAGGGTTTGGTTATCTAATACCACACAATAACAGAGATAAAACAGATAAGCATCTGGAGCTGAGGGCACTTTCTCTGGACCAACTGGTCAGATAATGTGGTCAGATAAAGCTCAAAGCCACAGGTCAGAGGTCAAGCTGGGTCGGAGTCAGGTTAGCATCATTCAAAGGAAAGCTATACTCTTTATGACAGTCCCTCATTAAAGAAATAACAACAGTACTTAATACATCTTATCTCTGTTCTGTTATGTGGCATTATAGGACAAGTCATTGTCGGACTGAATTGTTTCTGAAGTCTGTTTGGTTTATTATGTCTTGTCTGCTGTCATGATGGTAGTCAGTTATACTCCAACGTCACATATAGGCCTTCTTGATTATAAGTTTAGGTAATATTCCATCCTTATGACACAATCCATCTCTTTCCTAAGGAAATAAACTACACATTTTCGCAATGCCTTGTTTCCATATGAAAACAATCAGCGGTCATCAACAGTTTCCAGGTTTCCAGGCAACCCTTTGCAGCAGGACGTCCAGCAGAGCAGTGCTAGAGGAGGAGGAGGTAAAGTATGTACCGTATGATGGACACTGACCTGATTCCTGCTCAGTGCTGATGGAAAAACAAGGTCTCTGGTGCCTGAGGATGATGGTGATGATGAGCGGTTTTTACGTCGAGAGCCCCAGAGAGCCATCGAGGCGAGACTACTCCCTCTGCTCCCCCGCTGTCCAGTCCTAGACTGAAGGCCCTGTCTGGAATGCAATCTGTTGGCCATCTGCAGGCCTCCATCGGTCTGTTTGATATTCAAACAAACACCTGTCAAAAGTCAATGTCTCATCTCACATGGAACTCTTGGAAATTGGCACATCTCCACTTCTTCCTCACACAGAAAAAAAGGATCCTCAAGCTGGATCTTATTCCAACCATCTGCGTGTTTGTTAAATATAGATTGTTATTGAAGGTTTGAAGAGCATGTTCTTGTTTCCACTAAAATGTCAAAAGATAATAGTCCATTCAAGGTGGTACATTCTTGAAGAAAGATGTGTGTACAATAGAATATAACTTTTTCAGCATTGGTTGTAGTATTATGGACTGATCTGTGAATAAGCAGTCACAACTGCATGAAACTGAGAGCTTAGGAGGATGTTCTGAGATGAAGAACAGTCAGGGAATCTTTAGTAACCCCTCTCACTTTCTCTCTCTCTCTCTCCTCCCCAGCTCTCTCCCTCTCTCCCTGTTTGGCTGTGTGGAGATGAAGAGACTTATAGGACAGGACAGTAGGCTTGTATTGGCTGCTGTCCAGCCTCCACATTTAACCCACTGCTGTTGTTCTGATGCTCTCTCTGTCCCCTACAGTATTTGTTCAGTTGCTGGTCCTTCTCTGGCTCTCTGAGGTCTGTAGATGCATTTCTCAGAGCAGTGATGGTGATGGACTCTTGCAGAGATCTGGTGTGTGGGTGAGTAATATGAAGACATGAAGACATTAATCTATCACATTGAGCAATAGATTAATCGAGCATCATTCATCAAAGGTCTGTCAGGGCCAATGTAATCTTGCTGCACAATATTATGGTGCATATCTGTGGTAGATCATCAGTTCTGGAATAGTTCTTAAAATGTCAGTGATCGTTCTTCTTAGTAGTATCTTCTATCCCTAATACCTTTCCGTAATTTAGATTTCTGACAGATTCCCCTATTTTATAATAATTAATTGAATGATTATTCAATGATATATAAACACAAGCAACAATGTCATGGCCACATGCTCTCCAAATGTCAGTGACTTTGACCCAGCAGACTATTTGTGAGGGCCATAAACCTTTAGGGCCTTGTGGTCCTCATCTTGTTCCTTTGGTCTTTGATAGAAATACTTCCATTGAGGAATGAACCCTGATGCATTTCCAGAGAGAATCTCAGTCAAAACTCTTCACCCACACAGACGCTGGTATGTTTACGGTACAAAGACATTGTAAAGTTATCACACCTTATTATGATTACCCCTAAACTCAAAGCTGTCTGGTGTGTGCATCAGGCTGAAACTCACTCCATACATTCTTGTCAAAACAATTCCACTATTTTGCCATGATGCAGTAACATGGAACGTCTGCATACCTGCATTTGACCACATAAAAATGCTTAGTGACTGTAGCACATGGGATGAAGCATTGCCCACGTTGAGCAAAGCATGTCTTTACATGCCTTAGTTACCTAACAGTGAGATGATGCCTACTGTACAGGACATGTCTACCAGTGGAGGCTGGTGACTTGAAAAATTTAGGAGGATGGGAGACCCACAGTATAGGCGCGGAACGCACGGAGACGACAAAGCGTGTTTCAAAAATCGTCAAAGACGAATTATTTTAACCTAAAGCATTTAATAAAGACATTTATAGTACAATATTATGGGGAATGGGAATGAGAGGGCTACTTACACAGTGTTGGGAAGGGATCACAGCAGTGATTGAATGAGAGTATGAGGCATGAGTTGAGGTGTTCAGATGTTTGACTTCAGTGCAGGACAGGGGTTGAGGTGTTCATAGGCTTCAGTGCAGGACAGGCTCATCATGGATGGATGGTGTTGGAGAAGAGCTCAATTCTTCCACAGAGGGCAGAACAGGATTTGACTGGGAAGACAAAAAACAATAACACAATACACTACACAGTTAGCTAAAAGAGCTAAGAATGAGTTAGTCCAAGCAAGGAGTAAAATCATTGATGTGTAATAATGTGATTATGTTTGTGTGTGTGATTGACTCTACATACAGTAATGAGAGAAAATTGATAGGGGTACTCACAGCGCTTGGAGAGGAAACATTCAATGTGCCAGTGGATGAGCGGGCACATGAGATGTGGCTTCAGTTCATGTCAGGAGAGAGTTGACAATGGTAGTGGAGTGGAGTGGTCATCTCCTCTTAATCAGGGAACAGGAGGGGACTTAGCTGTAAATACAAATAGCAGATACGTTCCATTACAGCTGCGCCATCGTAGGTTTGGGCAATGAGATTCTCCATGAAGTTAAACTCAGACATCTCAGAATTCACAAACTATGCATCTCGCCCACTTGACACATCAAAGTAGCCCAAGAAACGTTCCTAAATAAATCCCTGATCATCCACATACCTGACGATAACTGACAACTGCAAGCAGACTGGTGGCACCATAGGTGCCAGAGAGGTGGGGCAATTGTTTCCCCCTGGGGCCCAAAGTTTTTCCTTATCTGTTAACCTAACCAGGAAAACTCTGGACCCTATAAGGTATAACAGTGATTAATCAGTTGTAAAATGATTTTATATGGGCTATGATGGGACCAGTTTAACAGGTCACATGGTTTAAAAAAAAAATCCTGAAAAAGACTCCTGGCCCTGTGGGGGATGAAAACCCTGTCAAACTGCAGCTACCTTATACTTGTTCATATGAATTATATTTAGACTAGATTAAGAGGGGGATTTCCTCTACCTAGACACAGAGACAACAACTGATAGACAATAGCACTCAGAGGGCTGAGCTTGCTTTATGCATGTTTGCATCATGCAGGCCTATGCAACTGTAGGCCTAATAAAACTTTAACTCACATATGTCATCACTATTATGTTGATATATTAATTCCAGTTAATAATTTTCATTT